GCCATGTGGTCACCTCCGGGGCAGGCGGGAATCAAACTCATGCGGAAGTGGCTTAAACTTCTTAGTGCAGTGCTTTAACCCACTGCGCCACCAGGGAGGACCAGCACCAAAACTTTTTAAAAGGCGAAAGATTTATACCAGCTGAAGAGAAACCAGAGTATACCATAACTTTTTAAATCCAATCCCTCATCTGTTGCAATGGTGCAAATCTTGGACTAAAAACAACTTCTTAAAAATGTAATAAGCATCATCAAACTGTCCTCCAAAGAGACCCCACAATTTGTGATCTCGAGATATGAAGGACAGCGCCTACTTCTCCCGTCTAGATACTAGACAGCATCCGGCCACAGTGTTAAGCCGAACATAGCCAGAAATGGCTGGATTCATATTTCCCCTCTTCCCTCCCCTCAGTATTTTACATGACCAATTCATACTTTATTATTTACGAGATTGAGTTTTCACTCATTAGCATTTTTTTCTTTTGTGAGTAGTTGTCATTTGTGTTATTAATTTATTCTTTTTGCATTAATTTATAAGAGCTCTTCATGGAATACATCCCTTTGATGTATGTTTTACAAATATTTGTTCCCAAGTTAGTATTTTTAGATGCTCTCCCTGACTCTGTCTGCGTAAATATAGGGCTGTGTGTACATGTGTGTAGGTATATAGATACATACATATGCATCTTATTTTTTTTAAATGATCGGATTTACTTTATTTATGCATACAAGAACTGGGGTGCAGGCCAGAGGTGAAGGGGGTAAGAGGATTCACAAGAGACACAGTGGGGAGCAGAACAGGGGGATCTACTAAAAGACACTACTGAGGAGAACAGTGGGCGAGACAGGAGAAGTCTGTTGCACCCTGTGGATTTGCTCCCTGGCCGGGGTTCAAACTCAAGCCACAGTGGCTGGCGACTGCTTGATACACTGAGACTTTAACTTCTGCACCACCAGGCAGGTCCCCATATGTATCTTATCTTTAAATCATATCTGCCAGTCCTGTGTAGTTTCTATCCTGGTGTGATGCTAAGACAGGCCTTCCACACCTCAAGTTTATGAATACACTCAGTCATGCTTTTTTTAGTGCTTCTGTCAGTCATTTTTGAATATTCAAATATTTTTTGTCCTTTGGAATGCATTTTGAAATAAAAAAGTAAGGTCGGAAACCAATCCCACACAAATAACTGGCCGGCTGTCCCAGTCCTCCTATTGAGTGATCCATCTTGCCCCATCAATTTAAAATGTTCTTTTTATAATTTGCTGTAACCTCACTGGATTTAATTATTGTCTATTTTATTTCATTGCTTTGCCTGTGCTTGTTATACCAGTACTGTATTCTTTTATCTGCAATCCATTGTACATTTTACTGCGTTTAATGCTGGGGGAGAAAAAAAAAGATACTGTCCTTCCTTTTTCAGAATTTCCCTGGTTATTCTCATGTTTATTTCATTGCGCTCTAGATTATTTGCCAACTTCCCCAAAAGTCCCACTGAGATATAACTCAAATGGACTGAATCTGCGGATTAATTTAAGAACTGATGTTTTACATTGATTCTTTGAACAAATTGTGTGTGTACTTCTATATTAGACTGAATTTTATAGTTTTTTCCAGGCAGATCTTCTATATTTCTTATAATTTCCCCCCTCCTTGAGCTATTTTAGTTGTTATTTCTATTATGACAGTGCAGCTTCCCCCATTAAATCTTCTAAAGATTCATATTTCCACTGGCCTGTGTTTCTCTTAGAACGTGGCCTCTAGTGCCTGATTCCCCAGGCACTGCCCTCTCGATGCCTCGATGCCCTTCTTCCAGCTGACTACAGCCACTAGAGGGCAGAGGAAACTTCTGGGGCTCTAGCACCCAGTCCAGCATTGAACACTGCCCACCCCTTCTTCCCTGCTCTGTCTTCTAGAGGCCACTACCTGTGTTCTGTGTATGGGGCACGGCTGATGGTACCGGCTGGCCGCGGGCTCATCGTGGTCATCTCCTCTGCTGGAGGGCTGCAGTATTTCTTCAATGTCCCCTATGGAGTAGGCAAAGCTGCGGTGAGGACCCAATGACATGGGGCTGGGGAGGTGTAGGACAGTGACAGTACCTACTGTAGCTCAGGAGGGTCCATCCCTGGTGGTCGGAGAAGTTAAGGTCAACTAGCCCCACAGCTCCCCCTGCCCTCCCTGGGCACTTCCTCCTGCCCAGTTCCAGGGCTCCTTTCAGCCAGTCAGAGTAGATAGCACCCTGGGAAGATGGACAACCCAAGGGCTCCTGGGAAGGGCAGGGGCCTAGAACAGGGAGGGCATGGCCGGCGTCCTGGCTCTCACCCCACCTTCTGTCCCTCCACAGTGTGACAGGCTAGCTGCTGACTGTGCCCTGGAGCTGCGGCGTCATGGGGTCAGCTATGTGTCCTTGTGGCCAGGGATGGTGCAGACAGAAACACTGGTGGAGTATGCAAGGAAGGACATCAGCGAAGATTCCATGTTTAAGAAGGTCGGTGAGGGAAGGGTGCGGGAGGCAGGAAATGCCGGGGAATCTGCCTCTCCATCCTCAATGACCAGGCAGTAGAAACGCAGAGTAAATACAATGCCCTCGTGCTTACTGTGGTAGGGACAGGGCGAGCGCTAACATGGTCTGGAGCTTTTAATCCCGAGAGGGAGACTGTAGCTACATTTTACAGATGTCAGAACTGAATCCCTGAGCGGTTAAGGACCTTACTCCAGATCACCTATGCCAAAATCGCCAGGGCAATCCCAGGTTGAAGGCCCTGGGCCTGACTCCCAGCTGAACTGACCTAGAAGTACTGGCGTGGCTGGCATCCCCCAATTCTCCCTCTACGGAAGGTGGTAGGTCCTGTTGGAGTACAGGGCGCACCTGGCTGTAGGGAGGGGTGCCTCCAGCCCCTGCCAAGATGTGAGTGTGGCAGGGCGGTGATGAGGGAATTCTTTCTCCTGAACAGAAGCTAAAGCAGGGAAGAGACTTGGCAGTGCTCTTAGAAACTAATCCTTCACTTCTCTGTCCCTCTATTTCAGTTCAAATTAGATCTGCCTTCTGCAGAGACCACAGAAATGAGTGGCAAATGTGTGGTGGCTTTGGCAACAGGTGAAGAAGCTGGGGGCAGCGGGTAACAAGAAAGGGATGGAGGATCTGTGGGGGGGTGGGTCCTAACGCTCCTGAGGAACACCCCTTTCTTTTCTCTTGCTTCTGAAGATCCAAACTAGGGGGCCTAGTTTGAGACTTGGAAACCTCGAGAACTGACTCTTAGGAGTTGGGGAGCTACAAGCCCCAGAACCTCCCTGGGGATAGGCTCTGGGCTCCTGAGCCTCTCTCAGTGCTGCCCTGCCCTTTGGGCCCAAACTTGATCATCTGAGCTGCCCTCGGGCCATCAGCTGTCTGTATGTGTGCTCACAGACCCCAACATCCTGAGCCTCAGTGGGAAGGTGCTGCCATCCTGTGACCTTGCCCGACGCTATGGCCTTCGGGATGTGGATGGTAAGGCCTGGCCCAGCAGCCAGCTGGACCTCTTATCTCATCCTGTTCCCTGCTCACTCCTTCCTCACTCCTGTTCCTTTCCCCTCATCTCAGTATCTTCAGCCAGCGTGGGGTACCTGGGGATCAGGAAACAGGGGCTAACCCTCCTCTACTTCCTGTCTGCAGGCCGCGCAGTCCAAGACTATTTTTCTTTGAGGTCTGTTCTCTCCCATGCCACCAGCCTGGGCTGGCTGGCCTCCTACTTGCCCAGCTTTCTCCGTATGCCCAAGTGGATTATGACCCTCTACTCTGGCAAATTCTAACTCTCCTGGCCCGACATCACAGCTGCTAGGTGGAAAAAGGCGCTTCCTGCCTCCTGCGCAGACCCTCGACTAGAAGAGAAGGCCTCCCTGTGTGCCCTGGGCGAGCCCTGGGGCTGGCATAGATCCTTCTTTGAGCCTTGGTTTTCTCTAACCCTAATTTTACTTTCTGCCTTGTTTTGAATACTACCCAGAGGACTAATTAATAAAGATCTCATTTCTTCTTCAAATTATCTTTGAGTGCTGATTCTATGCTCAGCAAAATGTTAAGTACTTAGAAGACTCAAATATATGCAAGATGTTTCCATTCTCAAAGAGTTCATTCCCTGGGCCAACCTCCTCTCTCCAGATCTCCTTCTGCTCCTGCCTATAGCCCCATCTCAGGGGTACCCGCCCTGCAATGGTGAGGCCTAGTTCCCATGCCTACTGGGGAGCAGGCTTCCCTCCCCAAGAACCTGCATACCCCAGTCTCACACTGCTTTCTCTCCTTTACCGCCCATTCTTCAGAGGTGGGCCTGATTTCTGGGCCTGATTTCATCCAGCCAGGGCAGACCCCTTAGTGTTTATGATTCCTTGAATTTTGGGAGGACAGTACTGCTCGGACCTAAGTGGGGGGCAGAGGGATAGCTGGTGGAACTGACACACATGTCCTTCCTCTGGGGCCGCTACCACTGAATTGCTCTCTGAAGAATTGATCTCACTGGGCATTAGCCTGTCTGACCTACCCTGAGGGCTGTCCCAGACTGAGGAAGGCAACAGGGAGCCCCAAAGAAACACAGCCGCACTCAGGGAGCCTTCCCTCCAGCAGCCCAGAGGCCCATCTGGAGATCATAGAATGGCTTCTGTAAATCCAGGGAGCAGGGGCCATTTTCAGTCTCCAGAAAAGGCAAGGTGAGAACCAAGGCTCCCCACAGATGCCTGTTGCACCTACTGAAGCTGTGATTAACTGATGGCTTTCTGGCTCTGGTGGTCGAGAGCACCCCAGCATGCTCCCAGGGACATGTTTGAGGGATGAGACGTGGAGCAAGTTTGCAAGGCAAGACTCTGCTGCTCAGTGAGCAGCCCTCTTGCTATCTATTAGCAGTAATGAACAAGCATGACTGATTATGTGACAATGGCAGGAGCAGCAGGGTCCCAGGGAAGCAAAGGGGATCCATCTTATAGGGGACAGAATTTCAAAGGGAAATCAATTTTATGGGGAGTAGGAGGGGACATGTCAGCCACGTAGACAGGAAGAACTTCCTGTGCAGATGCTTGGTGTAATTTTCAAGCTACTCCCAGACCGTTTCGGACTCGACCACACAATCGGTCAACAGTTACCTTGGCTTCCCCTGCCGCCTCGTGATGGGGGCCATTGTCTCAGGGCAGTCATGCGGGAGCACCTTGTCCAAATCTTTCACACATGGGTGCATAGAGAGGCCATGGCACACAGGTGCAGAGGCCCCAGGTGGAAAAGAGGCCGCACTGGGCACAGCCCCCAGAATGTCCCAGAGGAGCACCAGGTAGCTCACTTTGCCAACTCTGCATCACCAGCAACATGTGAGTTGCTTGAATTCAGCCATAGTCAGAGTGTACATACCAGAGAGAGCAAGAAAGGCTCCTGCCAGGGCCTCTTCTTAGAGAGCCAGCTTATCAGCAAGAGACTAGAATTACATATCTAAGTGCCACCTTTTGGCCATGTGCCTAATTTAGATCATAGCGATCAGATTTCCTCACCACCTCTCCCTCTGCCCATCATGACCCTAAAGTCCTATTTCCCCTGAGGTTGGGGAGGTCACAGAGAAGGGGAAGGGCCGGAGCCTCCTCCAGTCTTCCAAGCCATAATTATAAGACACCACTGGAATAAATCCTTTCGTGATGGCCTTGTCTCCTGAAGACCACAAGGTAATACAGGAAGAACCTGAGCTTTAAAGTTGTACAAATCTGCAAACAAGTCCTGACTCTACCACTTTGAGACTTAAGTGTGCAGGTGATGATAGAAACAATGTGTGCAAGGCACCAAGCAACATGGAGCCACTGAAACTGTAAATTCCTTTCTCAGCAAATATTTAAGAGGATGCTCTGCCGCAAACATTATTCTAGGTTTTAGGAGAATGCCAAACAGGGCAGACCAGGCCCAAGGCCAAAGACCTCTCAACAGAGCCAGAAGCAACTGTTTTAGGAACTGCCAAGCGAGTGGTCATCTAGATCAATTAGCAAATTTTGCCAGAGAATGGAATCAGTCATCAATATGTTAAGTCAAGAACACGTTAAGATTGTTAACAAGACCGGCTGACTTGTATAGTTAAAAATGATAGAGATCTTGGGTAGATCTTGTACAATTACAAGGATTGTACAATTAAAAATGGTAGAGATTGGCCCTCCCTGGTGGTACAAAGGGTTAAAGCACAGCACTAAGAAGCTAAAATCACTTACGCATGAGTTCGATTCCCGCCTGCCCCAGAGGAGACCACATGGCGTGGCAGACCTCTCCTGACCCGCCCGCTGCTCCCCTCAGCAGTGTACTTTGTCACTGCCTGTTCTGCGCCCCGCTCTGTCTCTGGTGAAGTCTTTCACCACCCCTGAGTCTTTGGCCTGTACCCCAGTTCTGTATGTACAAATAAATAAATCTTAAAAAAAAAATGGTAGAGATCTTCCTGGTGGCCCAGGGGTTAAGTCTCAGCACTATGAGGCTGTCCATAGCCACCGCAGCACAAGTTCGATCCCCAGCCAGGGAGCTGATCCACATGGCACAGCAGACCTCTCCTGTCTCACACCTGCTCCTCTCAGCAGTATGTTTCAGTTGATCTGCCTGTTCTGCTCCCCACTGTGTCTCTGGTGAATCCTCTCACCCCTGCATCTGTGGCCTACCACAATTCTTGAATGCATAAATAAATAAATTTTTTAAAAGATCTTTAAAAATCTTTTAAAAGATCTTTAAATAAATTTTTTAAAAGATCTGGTAGAGATCCAAATGGTGGTTATCAGAGGGGAGGATGAAGGAAGAAAATGGGAGAAAATGGTAAAGAGGCTCAATTTAATAGTGAGTCTAGAACTCTGGTGGTGGGGTTAGTGTGGTATTATATCTATTGAGGTCTGAGACAATGCTACTGAAATTTATATAGCTTTGTAAATTGACAGTAAATTAATTTTTTAAAAGGTCGTTAACAATAATTAACATTTCTTCAACCACTTAGCCATCTTATTAAACATTTTTAATTAAAATTCTTTATGTATACACAAACTGGGGTGTAAGCCAGAGGTATGGGGGTTAAGAGGACTCTCCAGACAGAGTGGGGAGCAGAACAGGCAGATCCAGTGAAACACACTGCTGAGGGGAGCAGTGGGTGGGTCAGGAGAGGTCTGCTGTACCACGTGGGTCACCTCCCTGGCTGGGGATCAAACTCGTGCTGCAGTGGCTGCAGATAGCTTCATAGTGCTGAGACTTAATCTCTTGTGCCACCAGGGAGCCCCATACACGTGATTCTTATGTAGGTTTTATTTAGGAACAAGAAGCTTTTTACAAGATGACCTCGTCCTGGTGACCTGGGTCAACAACAGGAAAAATTCCCTAACGCTTACTAACCCTGTACTGACAAATTGAAGGTGAGGTGCTTAGGGCTAGATCAGCCTCCGTTTTCTAAGCTGTGACCATTTCTGGATAGGAAATGAGGTCACTTCAGTCCCCTGGTCTCCTCATCCCTGGGGAGAACCCCCCCGTGGCCTGAGGAGTCGCTTCACCACAACTGTCCCCCACCGTTTTGGTCACTACAAGAAAACTTCTCAAAGTCCCTTTTGCCTGGATCCTTCTGCCTGTGCCTCCTGCCCTTCCACTCTACCTTCCGACCCTGGACTGCCCTCGCCTGTCCTCATCCCTCCTCTGAATCTCCCTGCCCCTCCATGGCCGAGTCACCTGGAGTTTATAGCTGTTCCTCTTGCCCAAATGCTGGCAGGGAAAGGCTGATGGGTGCAGTCAAGTCTTTGAAGACAAGGTCCAGCACTCAAAGTATTTTTAGTTCTCATTGTGAAACAATTCGAAAACCACCGTGAGACCCAGGGTGGAGGGCAGGCTGCTCCCAGGCCACACACAATTCTCATTCTCTTCAGGTTTCACCTTTCTGGAAGTGTTACATTCTCTCCCTGCCTTTCTTTGCAAAGCCTCACCTTGTCTCTGTTCTGGTCACTAGGCAACCAAGGGCATCCTGGCCATCTCACTGAGTGCCGCTGACTCATCCAGCCCCACCCCCACTTGCCCCCTGGTTCCCCCACCCTGGGACCATCTGCACAGGCCTGAGGCTCCCCCTTTGGCTAGGATGACCATGTAGAGCTGCAAGATTCACCCCAGGACAGAGCAGAGGCTAAAAGAGGCAGACTGGACTTTCTCTGGCAAGATGCCCTGGCCTCTGTGCTGAGGTGCCTTAGAAGTGGGCCAGCTCCAGCTGCTCTGAGTAAGGTCAAGGGGTCACAGGCCTTCTGGGATTCATGTATCAGAAGAGGAGAAGACTGGAAACTGCTAGTGCTTAACTGGACAATGAGGGGATCTAGGTGAGATTAAACCTTGGTACTGGAGGCGCCTGTGGTGAATGCCGGGAAGGCAGCAGAGGAAGTGGAGTCAGCTTTGTGCAATTTCTGTTAACAAGTATGAACACATCTGCCCCTATCCAGGAGTGGGCAGGCCCTGGCTCCCCCCGCCTAGGAGAGGTGGTTCCAGAAGAAACAAGCAAAGCCGGAACTCTTAAAAACAAACACTGCCCCCAGCACCCCGAGGGGCTTGTGCAAGAGGGAGCAAGGTGAGTCAGCTTCAGGCTTTCCCTGTCACTTGAGCACGACTGAGCCAGCCAGGGACTCGTGGCAGGAACTGAGAGAATGCTTACTGAGCACCAGGGATGACCTCAGCACTCTGCTAGGTTTTACTTAATCTCGTTTTATCTCCTGTATGTGGTAAGTACTCTGACAGTGGAGGGAAAGGGGACTGACTGGTCCAGGGCCGCAAGTCTGTAGAGTCTGGATTCAGCTGCCGGCACTAGCACAGAAGGCAAGCTCCTTCCCCTGCTCACACCACCTCTGTGCCTGGTTTCTGTGTTTGGATTTGGAGGACTTTTCCTTGTTGGCAGAGTTGGGCAGATGTGTGGAAACACCCCTGGGAGGGCCTTGTCTCAGTTTGACCACGTTGTGTCCTCTGTTCCTTTGCTGGAGCTGTGCTGTCTCCAGAGTGCCGCCCCCTCTCCCCCTAGTTCCAGCCCCA